CAGTTAATATCTTGCGTGCCATTTCCAAAACACAGTAAATGTCCCCTTGAAGAGGATATTTCGGAGTAGATATTTCCTTCCTCTGTAGCTCTGTCTACTGATGTCTCAGAGACATGTTCAGTGAAGTTTATTGAAATTCTGTCGGTTGGTATAGATAACTCGTAAAGTTTCTGTTTGTCTTTTCTATAAAGAAATAAATCACATATGAACATTCAATGATTGCAGCTGTTTATGATTATAAGTGCATCATGTATTTTACATAAAAACGCCATGTTATTATATTTACATCCACTGAATATTATTTCCTTTATTTCTTATGAAAACAATTGCCGTTTATCAGACAGTAAACGCAACTAAGCAAGTCACATGCAAAGATTTCTTGAGCAACGGCTCTTCCATCAATTATGCATACAATGGCATGCACATCTATATTACAATATTTAACGCATTTGATTTTATTTTTAACATTTTTTTTTATACAGACATAAATATAAACAATAAAATGTCTTTCTTTGGTTGTTAGTACGTGAATTAACGTATCGATACATTAGATAATGTAACACAGTGTTCTCTTCTTATGTACCAATCCCATTGAAATCCGACCAAATCTGTACGAAGAATAGAGTTTTCAATGCAATTTACAGATATTCTTATATTTAGCAACCATTGCAACACTGTCCGTCGAAAAAACAAAACAACGCAGAGTTATGTATTCTACTTGTGTATCAAATTTTAATGAAATCGGACTTAAACTATAGAAGGAGTAGCAGTTTGAAAGTATTCAAACTATAACAATAAATCGTGTAGGAAAACATAACTGATGTCAAAACGCACAGGACTCTATAATCTAAAACTATCGTTCCTAGCTAATTCAGGATATATTACAAATAGCTTTTCAGAAAGATCGCAAATGATTGCAATTTGCATATCCGGTATATTCGATATTTTTTGCATTTATGTATTTTTCTTCAATATTAAAACTCTTCGGAAGTGTGTTTATATCTGAAATGCTGCAATCGACCTAGTAAATATTTTTCCCAAGACACGCCGCCGTCAAAACAAGTCTCCGAAATTTATTGTTATTATAAACTATTAAACAAAGTTAAATGTATATATGGCGTATCTGAGCTAAAAATATAATACAAAATTGAGTGCAGGCAAAAATATCCCAGAGGATCTGCAGAAATTGGCAATATTTTTGAACTTTAGATTAATTCTCAGAATGTGGGCACAATGTGAAGATAATAGAAAAGAAATATTGTCTTTGAATAATGAAACAAATTTATTGAAACACATTCTTGCAGCAGAGAATTTTGTATTTATTTTTATTGGATGAATTCAAACTAAACAATCTATAAGTTTTTTGGGAAATAGTAATATACCAACCGTAAAACAAGTTTCTAAACTGAGTAGGCTCACAGCTCTTAATATAAAATTTTCCAATCATTCTTGCTTATTGTAGGGTAAAGTATTAGACTTTATATCGCTTTATTTTTCTTTCCTGATATCGTCATACTATGGCAACTGCAATATTAGGCCATCTTTAGAAAAAATGTTTGTTTGCCCTCTCCCGACCGACTGGCTAAAAATGGCCCGACTCAAAACTTTTCTTTAACCTCCATGAAGCATTTCTTTTATTTTTAAGCATTCCGGAAAATAGATTTTGGAAATTGATTTTGAAATTTTGTTTGAAAAAAAAATTCTCACCTACCTACCAACTTAATTTTTTCATCCGTAGTCGGGAGAGGGCAAACAAACATTATTTTAAAGTTGGCCTTAGGTATTCATTTTCACAGCAAAATATGAATTGTTTGTCATTTTTGTGAATGTTCTTTGAATCTAATAAAGAATAAGCTTAGGTTTTTAAAGACGTTATGTATAGACGCTGTATATAATAATGAAATTTTAGCGAACAGTAATATCGTAAAAAAATCTTTTTAAACTTTTCAGATTGAAGACTCCTAAGATGAGATCAGGTGCCATGGAGGAGTAAGCATCTCCTTTTTTTGTCACATCTATCGTGAACCCTTGTCTTGATTAGATAAACTGAGTAATCCAGACAAATCAGTGTGAAAATAATGACCTTACAATTTGTATTAAAACGTCAGTCAACATTCGATCTAACGACAGGTTATATTTGCAAAAGGTCAATCTATCGAAAGTAGAAATTTCAAACTGTTGACTTTAAAAGAGATGTTGATATCCTTTAACTAGAGTGCCTTGGTATAGAAATTGATAGCTATTGTCATATCAAATCTACTGGGAAACATAATTAACATATACAAGTATAATGGTATATATTGCTACATAAATAATGGAAGATAGTGATGGAAAAATTGAAGTCATCACGTTTATTATAAAGTATAATTGTTAGTTTACCATTGATAAATGGTGAGTGAATCCTTTATTAGGAAAATGAAAAGATTTTGTACAATTTCTAGGTCCATTACTATACTGTTTTAAACATGATAGAATTCATTTGAGGTTTTCCTGAACTTCGACCGTTGATTACTTCGGCTAGCAAAGCTTCGACAACACTTAAAAATCGTATTAATTTCTTCGCGTAGTATCATTTTATCAAGATAATTGGATGTTTTTTGTCTCTCGAGTGCCAGAAATAGCCTTTTTAGGTGATTAATTATAAATACATGTATATAAATTGAAACTTTTATCCTTTAAAGGTTCACACATGTGAACCAATTGATAAAATATATAAATGTTTAAAGTATCTGACTTTATTTCTAATTGGCAGATAGTGTTGGACGTGCGGTTTGTGATCGGGAGTGTTCCTTCTTCAAAATGGAGACCAGTTCCATTGAAACAAAAAGCTATGTTTTATATTTGGATGTTGTACTGACTATAAGACGATAAGGATCAATTGAATACTAAATTGCAAGAAGATGGAAGAGGTGAAGTCTTCTTGTTTGTCATAGAATTTAGCTGTTGGTTGTCCTTATTATCTATAGTCAGTAAAACATCCAGATGTGAAACAGATGTGGCAGACTTTTATTTCGAGTTTGCTGGGAAATATCAATTCGACATATGAATCGAAGTAACCATTGTTAACTGATAAAACCTCGTCCATGTATCTGTAGGTGTCTTCTTCTTATGTTATTGTAGATGTTTTTTAAAATTATTTCTGCATTATATGAATATGAAAACAGGTCGACTAATAAAAGAACATAAGTAGTGTCCATCGGAATTTCAACAGATTAATGGAATATCTGGTCAATTGTGTGGAACGGTCCATTGGTCCTTTTAAGTCCCTTTGGCCTATGTACATATTTATTTAAATTACTAGTAGATGTTTTACAGGGCTATAAATGCATAAATCATCGATCTCCTTTGGTTACCGTATACTTATTAATCTGTGGTGGGACAGGACAGGACCCTGTTGTAAACAGTTATGTTATACCAGAACATTTATGAAATGTAAAGATAACAAACAATAATCATGCTGAAGAATCAAATTAAACAACATAAAGAGTGAGTCGGACAGACACGGACTTCTGAAAACAGATGTAAGATCAGATGCGATTGAGGAGCAAGTACCTCCTGTCCACCGGTCTATCCACAGAGATCTCTTTGTTGGTGTGTTTGCTTGTTTGTTCTACTGTCCCTTGAAGAATTTTTCACTCATATTGAGACACCATTACGTGCTGGTGGAGGGCTGCAAATTTAGACTTGTACTTGGCACTTACGCTCGTTGAGCAATGCGAGGGATTTTTTTCGTGCCAGCACCCACTGCGACACGGGACCTCGGCTTATACGGTCTCATCCGAATGACCAGTCTCTACATCCCGCAGTGGGATTCGAACCCGCGACGAAGGGCCCAATGCCTTACGCCATGACTATAGAGCAAACGCTCTAACCACTGCGCCACGACTCTGAGCCCTTTGTAATGATTGGGATATCAAAGAAATCCGTACATTAACTGTTGGATATATTTGGATATTTTATATATTTTTATGCCCTCGTAATTTTTGGTCTGTCCGTTCGTTTGTCTCTTTGTCTATTAATCTGTTTGTCTGCAAAAACATTATCCTTGTTCTTTACATTTGGTTGGAACACGGGCTTTTATATTTCACAAGTGTATTCCTTGTGACAAGACCTTTCGTTTAAAACCGACATATTTGACCTGTTGATCTTACCTTGGAGTTTGGCCTACATTTGAAAAAAAAGCATCTTAGCTTTGCCTATATCTTTTGAATGGTTGCTGCTAGGTCTTTCATATTTCACTTGTACATTCTTTTAGACAAGATCTCTCCTTTGGTACCATTATTTTTTTGACATTGACATTGACCTACTTTATGAAAAAATTAATCTGATCCATATTTTCTTAATAGCTGGTACTAGGACTATTATATTTCAAATGTATATTCCTTGTGACAAAACCTTTCTTTGGGCATCAACATTTCTTAACTCTCAACCTTGACCTAAGAGTTTGACCTACATTTGTAAAACTTTAACCTTGGTCTTGAGCTTGTATCAGTGTTTCACAAACACATCTTGTTTATGCTTGGATATTTGGATATACCGGTAATACATATTTTTCATATTCGGGTATTTTACTATAAAAAGACATTAAGGCAAACTAACAAAAGAATTTTATGATGACTTCAACTTTTCTATCGTCAACTTCCCTTATTTATGTAGCAAAACATTGTTTTGCGACACGCAATTGGCTTTACGGATGAAATCAAAATTCCTTAACCTTATTACACATCAACAGAACATCAAAGTTATCTTTCAAAAGATAATTTAGCGACAGTGTAAAATGTAAGAATTCTAAGCTTTGTATTATCTTGAAAATATCTTAACAGTGAAGGACCCCAAACTCCAAAAAGGAGGGTTGGGAATTTTCCGAAAATTATACATATCATAGTTTCCTCCATGTCACCTGATCCCATCTCTGATGATTTTAGAGGTCCGTGTTTGCTATTCTCATAATTTGTATTGTTTCAATTAACTTTTGAGGTTGATTTTCATATTCCATTTCCTTATAAAGAATAACTCTGTAAGTACCTTCTCTGTAATATATGGACTCCGGCCATCAAAGTTAAGGCTACCACAACACCAATCAGAAGAAGAAGAAGAAACAGCCTGGTTTGGGATTTTAAATCTACATACATGTATATTCATATTGAAAGTTATAAAGTATTTTAGACCTGAAAAGCACGTTCAAAGCATCAGGCTAAAAATCGTTTTCTTTTTAAATCACATAAACAAGAGGTTTTAAAATTGTTTCAATCATTACATCTTCTTTTAATTTATTGAAGTAAAATTGCGCTCGTTCATATAATTTTGACGTATTTTGATGACTATGAAAAACAATATATGAACAAGGAACATTCTCAGACTGGCGCTGGTTCTGAAAACAGTCCTACCTTTTGAGTGTACGATGTTCGTACTTGTATTAATTTTAGTAAGATTTTTGTCTGTATCAACAGTCGTCAATGTGTGAAGTTCTGATATCTTACTGCAGTTAATGATCAAGTGTCCTAGAAAAACAATGAAACCTTGTTGATGCAAAATAAATGTAGATAATATCTCTATGGTTGCTATGACGTGACAACCTGTATTCCTTAGCAATAATTTATATTCACATAATATATCCCATATTAAATACCTTTAAGATGTATCCAAACTCTTCCTTTCCATTCTGTATATATTTTGAAAATGTATCGAGTGTGATTGGTGTGATTGGCATTCAACCCGCTGTAAGTGATGTCGGTACCATATACATTCCTGTTATCATTATCTGAAAGGTAAAACCTAAGCTGTCTCTCGTTTTCGAATTATTTGTATTGTTGTATTGTAAAAGTTAATTTTTTAAAATAATAAATATAAACTTATTTTGATAGATAATATGCACATTGCTAATAAAGAGGATGTAAAATTTAATCAGGATCGGTATTATAGGTGGACATTGATCATTAGAAGAAAAATGTCATCTTACTGTAAAGTTTTTCATCGTCCCCGTAAAGATTTAAACTTGCTCCTGACACCTCCAGTAAAGATAAAAGGTGTATGGTCCCATAAACTTCACATGTAAAGTTTCCATAGAAACTATTGGTAACCAAATGAACGTCTCTGAATGTCTTCGTAGTTTTCCAATTATTTCCAGAGAAGTCGAATAAACGGTTCTCTGAGGAAAGCAAGTTTTTTTTATATGTAATAATGCAAACAATTACATTAATATTTGATTAATGTTCAATACATTTCCCCTTTTTTTCTAATAAAAAAGCCATACAACTTATTGTTTATTTCTAAAGTTCACTGGTTTAAAATTCTTACTTGGTATACATAGATAGGTAAAACTGGTGAATATAGAATCCTTGGTCCAGTTATATGTGGTCTCTTCGTTGCAACTGATATGGAATAGGTCAAAAGTTTTATAAAGTAAATCTTTATTCAAATCACATGTACTCTTTAGGTTACAGCTGATTCCAGCGATAAAAGGCGTACTATTACTTATAGAATCGTTAAGTGGTAGGAACTGGGTATATGCACCTTTTACCAAATTGAAAGCACATGATTTTTCCGACCCAGCAAGAGAAGATATATGTGACGTTATAGCTTGTTTCTTCACATAGATAACTTCCTCAGAAAGACACGCCATTTTTGTCTTTTCTGTTATGTAATCTAACGCTCTCTGGCATTTAATTTGTTTATCCCCGATGGAATTAATCATACCTGTAGTTAGTTCAGAGAATATAAATCAGTTACATAAAAAACATGTAAATTAATTTTTTGATATATTTAGAAAAACAAACAAACAACAAACTTTTCTCTAAAAAATTATAACCTACCCGGAAAAAGAAATGTAATTAATATCCAAGGAAGGTACTTTCTTGTAACAGCCATCTTTATCGTGGTTTGAAAGTTTGACTAGTTTATAAAATGACAAAGGGAAATCCATTTCTGTTTTTCCAGAATGAGGACATGATATTTCCTTATCAAGAATAATTGAAAAGTATCTTAATTTTGATGGCGGAAGATTATTATTGATATTCAAACAAGTGTTTAACGGGCATAGAAATAGAAATAATTAAATTAGAAATGTTTACGCGAGTGATAGCGCCTTTATAATGTTAATATTTGTGATTTTCACAAAATAAACCTAAACCAGAAAGCCCAGAACAAAACTTTGCGTTATAACCAACAGAAACAATGTAATTGATACAACTTAGGACAGTTATTTCATGCCTTACATTATAAAGCACTGCTTCCATTTGCATACTTCCTTTACTAATCAGATTTGCTTGAATTACAACACTTTATAATGATAAGCCCAAACAAATTAGTTTGCCGGAGTAACTTGAAAACTTGGGAGGGGTCAATTCTTTTTACTTAGGAAAAATTCGTTACACCGTCTGTCAATTACCTTTGACAATCTCTACCCATAGCTGTTCATTTCACTCTACTACACATGTGAGTGAGAGATTAACCAAGTCTAGTAAGAGGTTGTATCAAACAAGTTTCTAGAAGGATAGTCAAGGCTCACAGCTCCTAGTATAAAAAATTCCAATCGTCCTTGTTTTATTGTAGGATAAAGTATAATAGTTTATATTGCTTTATTTTCTTTCTTGATATCATCTTACTATGTATAGATGCTGTATAATGAAATTTTAACAAACAGTAATATCATCAAAAAAATCTTTTTAAACTTTTCAAATTGAGGCAAAACAAACAAGGACCCATAAAGACCCCAGAGATAGGATCAGGTGCCATGGAGGAGTAAGCATCTCCTTTTGCGTCATATCCAGCTCTTTGTCTTGATTAGATAAACCGAGGAATCCATAGACAATTCAGTGTGAAAATAATGGCCTTACAAATTGTATTAAAACGTCAGCCAACATTCGATCTAACGACATGTTGTTTTTGCAAAAGAGGTCATTGTATCGACCATAGAAATTTCAAAATGTTGACTTTAAAAGAGATGTTGATATCCTTCAACTAGAGTGCCGCGGTTTAGAAATTAATATGCTCTTGCATATCGATTCTACTAGGAAACATAATCAACATATGCAAGTATATAATGGTATATTGCTACATATATAATGGAAGATGGTGATGGAAAAGTTGAAGTCATTACGTTTATCATAAAGTATTAATTGTTGCTAGTTTACCAATAATAAATGACGAGTGAATCTTCTATTAGGAAAATGAAAAGATTTTGTACAATTTCTAGGTCCATTATAATACTGTTTTAAACATGATAGAATGATTAATGATTACTTCGGCTAGCATAACTTCGACAACACTTAAAAATCGTATTAATTTAAGATGATTTCTTCCCCAAAGTAACGCGTAGTATCATTTTATCAAGATAATTGGATAATTTTGGTCTCTAGAGTGACAGAAATAGCCTTTTCTTAGAGATTAATTATTATTCTAGAAATTGAAACTTTTTTCCTTTAAAGTTTCACACATGTAAACAATTTGATAAAATAAATAATTAAAGTTTCATTTGGGATTCAGTGAAAGCACCCGTATCATGTATTTGCTATCGTTTACAATTATAGACTGATATAGATTCAAAATTGTTTTGAGAAAGGGGAATGGAGAGACCCAGCAGTTAATCATAGGCATGGTCATAGGGAACTACTGTCCCCATCACCATTTTTTTGAAGAGGGGGAAAGGCAGGAGTATCCTTGTGCCCCTCCTTCCGCTTTTTTTTTTTTACCTGAGTATAATATAGATCCACTAACTTGTCCAGAAAATAAAGATGAATACTCGCAGTTCGAAAATAAAATCTCTGTTTTCTTTTATATATTTATTTGGCTAAATCCCACTCTTTTCCTCAATTGTGACTAAGCCTATGCAGATTGGCTGCAATGAAGCACAAATTATTTTACATAATTCTAAATAATTAGAAGTTAGATCAGATGTGCTGATAGTTAAATTTTATTTGATATATTTTTATTAAATTATTATTATACTTTCATATATATATTTACGGAAGCCGGTAGGTGCCAGGTAGAAAAATATTTTATCTGGCGGCCGCCACATAAATAACTGGCGGCCGCCAGAAACTTATCTGGCGGCCGCTAAATTATTATTTGGCGGCCGCCAGTTTTTTATTTGGCGGCCGCCAGATAAAATATTTTTTCTACCTGGCACCAACCAGCTTCCGTAATATTTTCATTGAATTCAATTTTAATACATTTTTCTCTATAATCATACAACAAATATTTGACACTTTAGACGTGGCACATCGTGCATGTGGCGTCAATTAGAATTCCCGCGCCCTCGAAGTTAGTTAAAAACAATATTTTCAAAATTTCCCCCAGAAATACTAGCATATTTATATCAATTCAACTATTATGCATATATTTTTTATTGTTGTGTTTCGAACTAATTACATTGATATCTTTAATTCTCATGCTTAAATCAATATTTTTCAAATCAATATTTTTTAAGTCGATATAACTTTTAGCAATAAAATCCATTATACAGTAAAGACGCTTTAAATTATGCGAAAATAGCCAGATACAATGCAAAATATAAACGAAAATAAGGAGTCATAACAGATCATATGTTGATAAGACAATAAAAAGTAAGACAATGTACCAGTACAAAAATATAACACAACAAGTTTAGAGACATTTACGCTTCCGTATGTGGTAGACTTATTTCGAGTTCACTGGGAAATATCAATTCGACATATTAATCGAAGTAACCATTGTTTATTGTATTAATGGAATATCTGGTCAAAATGGGATAATTGTGTGGAACGGTCCATTGGTCCTTTTAAGGTGTAAGGGCTTTCACATTTCACATTTGTATTCCTTGTGTCAAGACCTTTCTTTGGGTATCAACATTCTTGACCTTGACCTTCGAGTTTGACCTATATTTGAAAAAAAGTTTAACCTTACTATAACTTTTGAATGGTTTCTGCTATTGGCTTTCATATTTCACTTATGCATTCCTTGAGACAAGACTTTCCTTTTATATCATTATTTTTTTTCATTGATATTGACTTTAGAGTATGATTTTTAAAAATTTTACATTTTTAAAAACGCTGACCTGGGCCATATTAATTCCTTGTGACAAGACCGTTCTAAGAATATCAACATTTTTGAACAATTGTCTTGGAGTTTTACCTACATTTGAAAAAAAAAAATAATTTTGACCTTGAGCTGTCATACAGGGGCATCAGTGTTTCAAAAACACATTCCTTATCATTTAATTTTAAAATCATTAAATAACTATGGGTGTAAAATTTCGTTCCTTTTTATTAGTTCAAATTTGCCGCTCAATAATACATTCGTAGTAACGGAAGTAACGGAAGTGATGGGAATCAAGGGGAGATAAAAACTGATACATAGGCCTAGTAGCCATGTTGTTTGGTTACATGTGGTAAGATATTTGGATATTTAGATATATACATCTTCTACATATTTTATATATTTGGATATTTTACTAGAGAAAGACAATGACGACAAACTAACAACAAAGCTTATCATAAATTTCAAATTTTTATCATCAACTTCCCTTATCTATATAGCAAAACGTTATAGAAATTGTTCATACATAGAGCAATACTCTTGCGTATCGAATCAACTGGGAGACAAAAACCCATATGCAGGTGATAAGGGTATATTGCAATATAATTTAATTTTGTTTGTATTCTAGCCTCTGATTGGTTAATATCCAAAAAGGAACACAAATTATTTCTGTATAACCTGGTTTGGTATGGGGACACACCCCCTTGACAACCAGCTGAATCATCTGTTTCCATACAATCCTCTCATTTCCAGTCCTCGGGATTCATGGAAAATTCCAGATTTAATAAATGTACCTTTAATTTCAAACGATAAATTCGATCTTACCACATGTAACCAAACAACATGGCTACTAGGCCTATGTATCAGTTTTTATCTCCCCTTGATTCCCAACACTTCCGTTACTTCTGTTACCACGGTTGTATTATTGAGCGGCAAATTTGAACTAATAAAAAGTAACGAAATTTTACACCCATAGTTATTTAATGATTTTAAAATTAAATTATAAGTAAGGGAAGTTGAGGATTGAAAAATTGAAATCATCATGTTTATCATAAAGCTTTGTTGTTAGGTTACCATTAATGTCTTTTTCTAGTAAAATATCCAAATATGAAATAGATATGTCAGATTCTGTGTCATCTTTTATTTCAAGCTCACTGGGATATATCGAGTCGACGTATGAATGGAAGTAACTATTGTTAATTGATAATACGTTGTCGATATATGTATATAAATGTCGTGTTGAAGGCCAGAGCAAGTGTTTTCTTCTTCTCGTGTAGAAGTTTCTGAATTAATTTTGCTTCATATGAATACACAATAGGTCTGCTAATAAGGGGGCGAAATTGGTACCCATGGGAATTTCAACAGATTGTTGGAGACCTGATCTCCAAAGACTACATAGATATTGTCAATCATTGAATTCCATAAGTGCATGGTATGGAGTTTTTAAATGAAACACCTCCCTTGATCTCTCCTGCCAAACGGACACGAAAATTGCGGTGAGTAAAGTTCATGCAATATCCAAGCCAAAACTATCGAAATGTCCACAAGAGAAGATAAGATATGAATTGCCTTGTTGCAATTACGATGAAATCAATTGCTTTCTTTTGTACAACGTAAACCATTGCAACTCTTATGATGGATGTAATGGGGAGTCATCTTCTAAGAAACGAGCATCTTGGATA